GTAACTTTTAGAGGAATTTGATATTTTTCTCGAACTCGTTGATTGATTTCAAGAATAAAAGTGTTAATCTCAATATTTGGATAAGTTCTTGAATCTTGGAATAATGTTATAAAGATGTAAAACAATGATCAACCATCCCAAAAATCGTACTAGGCATTGGGTATTTATAATAGAATTGTTTAGGTAGTATATGATAGATAAAACTCTTGAAAAACGCAAATTAGAGTTTCTCGAAAAATTACATCGCTTGAGCGACGACGAGCGAAATGTGCGTCACTTGAGCGAGAGTAAGGCGACAGGCGGGCGATAATGTAACTTTTAGAGGAATTTGATATTTTTCTCGAACTCGTTGATTGATTTCAAGAATAAAAGTGTTAATCTCAATATTTGGATAAGTTCTTGAATCTTGGAATAATGTTATAAAGATGTAAAACAATGATCAACCATCCCAAAAATCGTACTAGGCATTGGGTATTTATAATAGAATTGTTTAGGTAGTATATGATAGATAAAACTCTTGAAAAACGCAAATTAGAGTTTCTCGAAAAATTACATCGCTTGAGCGACGACGAGCGAAATGTGCGTCACTTGAGCGAGAGTAAGGCGACAGGCGGGCGATAATTAGTCTGCATTGGACGCTCGAGCATCAATTAGGCTACATGCTAGCATAAATTCGACGACTNGATAAAACTCTTGAAAAACGCAAATTAGAGTTTCTCGAAAAATTACATCGCTTGAGCGACGACGAGCGAAATGTGCGTCACTTGAGCGAGAGTAAGGCGACAGGCGGGCGATAATTATTCTGCATTGGACGCTCGAGCATCAATTAGGCGACATGCTAGCATAAATTCGACGACTCTTTCTCCTTGTTCCACGCTCAAACTCAAAAACTCCTAATTCATCTATATAATCCTCCAAAAGACCTCATGATTTTTACAACTCATTTGTAACAATCTTATTCTTTTACAATAATCATTTTGTCTGAAAAATTACTAATACAACTAAAACCTAACAATCTCCAAACAAAAAAAAAAACATTTTTTAACTGGAGACAAGCAGTGGCTTAATAAATTCCAAAAACCAAAAATATGTTATTGATACCTCCAGGGTAAAGATACAGTAAGTAAATAATATATAAATTTCTTTTTCTTTTTATTGTACAACTCACTATCTCAATTTCTAAACTCCAAACTTATATAAAAGTATAATTCATTTTCTTTTTATGCTATCTGAACAAAATAAAACACCAGAAAGCTACAAAACAAGATACCCCAAATGCCACACACAATATATCTAATGTCCCTTCTGTCCTCACCTTTCTCTCTTGTCTCTCTTTCTTCATTTCAAGATACTCTTTGTACCTCCTCTGCCCTTCTTGCAATCTATTTCTCCCTTTTCCCTTTTTACCCTCCATTGCCCTTCGTAATATACCCAAACAGCCCTTCCCATTTATGTGCATTCCATCCATGTCCTCAATCTCTAAACATATTTCTCTTATTTGCATCATCTCCCCTTCCTCGGAACCAGCGCACGTGACCACTATCCCACACTGCACGTGACCACGATCAACGGCTAGGATTGAGGCAAATCGCATTTGCACTTCCCCAGTCAACCAATGGCGCTGTACAGTAACAGGCTTGTGAGATGAGAGGTTCACTGCCTGCAGTCGGATTGGGTCTATCAAAATCCAGCTCAGCGTCATGTAGTTGAAAATGTACTTACACGTCTCGTCTCCGTCCGGGTGTTTAATGGGTGTGGGTATCACGTCTTTTGGCTCCAGCAGGTCAATCCTGAAGGGCGAGCACCGGAACCACCCGGTCACGGTTTCCGTTTCTTGGACTTTACTGAAGATTAATTTGTCTTCGTAGTGTATATCAACGGCTGATATCAATTCTGACGGCGGTGGTGCTAACGGTGATGAAGGTCGGAGATTTGAGCAAGAGCGGTCTTCTTCCAAGAGAGGAAAGGCGTGAGAGAAAAACTTGCGGGGCCCACCATCGGGATACGTGGAGATTACCTGGCAGACACTTGGAGACCTGGTGGAAGGCCACGTGGAGTGGCATGTTTTGTACCACAAGTGATCTTGGGAGGAAACTTGGCGGAGGGTGGTGGAAGAGCAGCTTGTGGCGGCGAGAGTGATGCCGTCTAAACGAGGGAGGATGTGGGCTTCTATGATGTCCGTCTGCAAACTGGAAAAACTGGTTATGGTGCTGTCTTCTTCCGCCGTGGATGCGGTGGTGGCAGACGGTGGTGCAGTGAAGGTAATCATTTCTCGAGACAGTTCTTTTGTCAAGCTTTTCAAATGGTGAGAATTGGTGATGGTACGTCAATCAATTGGGCTTTGAAATTTTGTAATACCAACAATATATAGTCGTCACATATTTCCTAGTAGTACGACATTGCCCTTGGATTATGTAATAACTGGCTTTCACATTTTAAGGGTAGTTTCGTGATTTCGTAATCTTTGGTTGGAAGCTTTCAATTATTTTAACAGGAAGCTATGGGTTTTGAATAATTTAATCTAGTCTTGTATGAGTAAAATTTTTTTTAATAAAATGAGTGACAATAATATTTGACTTTGAGACGTGTTTGCTCTGATGTCACATTAAATTACTTACTTTAAAAGTTTAAACAATTTGATAAAATATGTGCACCTTCAACAATAAATACATATTTTGATATTTTAATTAAATAATTGATGGGTTCCCACGTGGAAACATCAATTATCGGCTCTTTACTCTAAAGTTGTATTAAGGGCTCGTTTGATTCTCACTATTGCAGAATGAGAATGAAAAATATAGTCGTTATTGAGCCCTACACAAGAGATAGAAATTCAAAATTGTTGACTTGATGTGATGGATAACGGTCATATTTTTCATTTTTATGGATGAAAAATGAGAAATAAACGGGGACTAAATATTATATCCATCTTCTAGAAGTTTATAATTATTACGTGCATAATTTGGAGAAGGGTTACATCATCGTGTAAGGCATTAGAACTACAATTGAACAGTGTTTTGTTTGATTAGGTTAATCAATTGTGTTTAGGCAAAAAATCACAATTTGTAAGTCTAAAACCATATTCGTATAACTATGATTAATGTCATTTTCTAGCTACATCACAAGACAAACACTGCATGCCAAAGTTCTTGAATGTGCCTAAAGAAAGGTATTTTGTTACTCAAGTTACTTGATTGACCTTTTATTCAATTGGTGTGCGTTCAAATTATTAGAGACAATGTTTGCCCTTTCGAATGAGGAAAGCGCCATTGTGGGACCCTTTCATTTTTTTTATATATAAAAGTTGTGCGTAACTTTCCAAGAATTTCAATTGTACCTATACTCATCACGGTAAGAATTGGATTCACCCACAACTCCTCTTCTCGAGACTCCATACATTTCTTATCGGAATATAGACAACTATCTCACAAGTCGAGATTAAGTTGAGAAAAATTGACAGAAAGAGATAAATAATTGAGGCAAATTTAGCTCTCCTAACAACTGTGAAAACTCTCGAATTATTAAACATACGCGGTTTTTATTAACATATGGACTATTGTTACCTTCGACTGATTTAGATCATTCTTCAGAATGTTGACTTGTATTTTATTTTGGACACCTTCTGAGTTTGGTGGGAACTCAGGAAATTGAAAATTCTGTGCTTGCTCTTCATCTTAACATATCCAAATTCTAACTCAAACAGGTAAATATAAAAATCATACCCTTTTTAATTTTCTCATTCACTTGTTTATCGACATTCATTTGTATCATTATTTTTCTTAATTATACTATATGTAGTACAAAAACTATGATAAAATTGTCCTAACTACTCGGTAATAGTGTATACTGTGTCTTCAATGGTAAAAAAATGTCACAGCTTGTACCCCTTCGAGAGTGGCCAAGTTGGTAGAGCTGGTGAACACGAAGACCAAATGTCACGAGTTCAAATCCCCTGCCAACACTTTCTCGTTGGAGCCTGTCGCACTGGGTTTGCCTAGTGCGGTTTACCTCTCCTGTGTAGTTTGCGTTGGGTTTACATAGTGCGCACTCACGATAATCGGAGCTCCGCTGACGGATAACGGCTATGGGTTCCTACGTAAACAAAAAAACAAAAAAAAGTGTCAACGCTTGTTATTTTTTTGACCATGCAGCATCTATTGACTTGAGGAAAAAAAATAGCAAAAATAAGTTGGACCCATCCACTTATATTATTCGGCTATTTAATTTTGACGTTGAAATATGAACCATAACAAGAATTCAAAAGTTGCATGGACCAGCCATCGTTCATTTATTCTGAAGATTGATAAATCTATTATTACAATGTTTTTTACAACATTATTGACAATGTTGTGGGTGATAAAAAAATGTTGATTGAAAAGATAAATTATTTTTTAAACTATCTAATGATTAATGAAACATGTCACGCGACATGTTGTCAACGACATCATACATCAAGCATGATTGTTTGAAAATCTTGTTGATTTTCTTCACAGATGAATTGACTTAGTCTCAGAGTACACTTTCAATTAGTCATCGCGTCTAATTTAGTGATGTGAATTGTTGGAGTCCGACCTCATATCCCCTTAGCTATTCCATCATAGAAGAGGTCAAAAAAGCTGTTGTAACGAAATATTGTTCGATAGGACTACAAAGACTCATGCCAGATTGGACAATGGCCATCGTTATAAATAGGGACATCATAATTTGAAACTCCAGAAAAACTACCCCAGTATGACATAGTCACCGGATAGTCGATCACTCCCACAATGACAAATGACATCAGCACCGTACTCTTTGGCCAATCAAAAGTTTGCAATGATTACCTATTTGAAGTAATTGTGGCCGATGTTGTAGCTACCATATGACCTAATGATAATTTGATCGGTTGACCCCAGCATCCAATTAAGAACCTTAAAACTGGGTAGTGGCACGAACTTCTAAGTTAGCATTGTAGCAAAAAATGACGTTGAACAACCAAGTTGCTTGGTTTCAAGACCTATAAAATGGGGCAAATGGTCCCCTCTGAAGGCCGAACTCAATGTGTTCTCTCTAATACACTCCAAACTTCAACAATGAAATTATTCTTTAATTTTTCTAGATCAGCGATCACTCTACTAATTTTTGTTAAGCTGGTTGAAATTTGTCGTGTCATTTTTAGTTATCAGCATAAATTATTTTTGAATTAGAGTGGAGTAATATCAACATAATAATATCTTGAAATTATCAACATAGGACTATATGAAATTAAAGCTTCACGAAAGAATTATTTCTTTGAATTTATCAACATAATAATATCTTGAAAATCAAATCGGATGGAATCTAATGCCAGAATTTGTGATAGACATGAATTTATGTACAAGATTATGCCACTAGCCTAATCTGATATTTTGGACTGCATTTTTGTCTGTTACAAGAAATTCCTAACTTAATAGGGACATATTGAACAAGTCTGAGAGTGACATTTAGCTGTTAACACTAGTATTAATTTAACATAGTACAATTCATATGTTTTAACTAGTTTATAGTTTTTTTTTTTTTCGTATATCATATTGTTTGACACTATTCAATTAAGTTATTATGTATATTATCTTAAATGACTAGGAATAAATAAATAAATAAACACACACACACACACATATATAATCGTCGTCCTTACTCCATTTGATACCCGAGAAGAGGAGAAAATCGAAAGTTGAAATTAGGCAGTTTGACATAAATTATTTAATGGAGATGTGTATTATTCATCCATGTCTGCGTTTCAATTACATAGTGAGCACACGTGTCAGTTTAAACTAACAGAGTACCAAATATTCCATACCTTGAGTGTAACGACGAAAAGAAAAATAAGAATACAATTCTTCTCTATTGCTTAATCTAAGAATAAAATGATAAGGACCACAATCTATGCCACGATATTATACTGTGTTTGGCACCCATTTTTTGTAGAATAGAATTTTTTGAATAGTGATTGATGGGAGAATATGTGGTGGAAAAGTTATGAAAAGTTTTAGATTTATGTGTAATATTATTTTATTGGGAGAATGTGTGGTTGAAATGAAAAAAGAGAAAAAAAAATGACACGTGTTTAGTTTTCAAACAGGATTAAACTCGGATTTAAACCTAATTGCTAACGTAGATGGAATCGTGTAAAGAAAAAACACAAAAAAATATATTCGTTGATTCTCAATGGATGCAATTAAATTCGCAATGGAAAAATTCCGAGTGCAATGTATTTTTAGTTTCTGTTAAATCATAATGAAATTCAAATGGGAATTAATTGATATCTAAAATTTAAATTGTACGTAACATTGACATGTGGGCATGTATCTTAATTATCACGTTACTAAATTTATAAATTAGTTTCAGGGGGAATTAATTGCTATTTAAAAATTATTTTGAATATAAATAATACATAACATCTAGGTATGGGCACGTATCTTATCACGTTAATATATTTATATATCTTGAACCTACGTAACATGCATTGGATCTGCATGTTTAATTACTCTGTCACTTATTTTGAGTTTGGGGTTCAAAACGTCAATGACCATTCACTCTTTCAGCATTGTTTTTTATTTTTGCCGAAAGGTCACTATAATGTAGTTTCAACATTATTTTGCATCCGCCCCTCCTTTACGGCCCCCTTGAAAACTAAGGATTTTGATGATGTGACAAACTGAATCGTTCATTTTTCAAATGGTGATAGGAAAAACGTTAAAAGTACAGTAATTGTTGTTACTATAGGAAGAAATTTTGAAGTTCTATTGAGAAATAATATTGTAAGTACATGGTCGTTGAGATTTTACACTTTGTTTTGATTTTCCTCATTTACCGTTTTAAGTGTACGTACAATACAAGAAAATATTAATTTATGGAAAAATTGCGAATACACAATCTTTAATTTACTAATTTACTTGTATTGTAAAACATGATCTTTCATTTAGTTTTCCTTGACAAATAGATGGTAAACTTCAATTTTGGTAAGAAGGGAGTCCTTGCAAATGAATTTAGGTCCTGGAGAAGGCTGGCCTGGGAGACTGGTTTTGCAAAAGGGACCGCAATCTGATCTATTCTGAAAGTTACGCAGTTCGATCTTAACAATATCTAAGGGGGGTGAATAGGAATATTATGCGGGATTAAAAATATTAACTAATTAGCAACATGTCACCAATTAATTATCTCTAAATGATTAAGCATACAAGTCAATTTAACATATGTTTAAATACCGCAATTAATATAATTCAATAATGAAAGCAGTAAGAACAAACA